TGGTGACATGGGAATGAGGAAGCCAGGGGATCACCATGGTGACATGGGAGGAGGAAGCCAGGGGATCACCATGGTGACATGGGAAGGAGGAAGCCAGGGGATCACCATGGTGACATGGGAGGAGGAAGCCAGGGGATCACCATGGTGACATGGGAAGGAGGAAGCCAGGAGACTCCCTGATGACATGGGAAGGAAAAGAGGCCCTTCATCCTGTGAGCTGGTTTGCCTTTCCTGTTGACAGTTAGGAAACATCAGATACTACTGATAGAACCCAAACTGCCCACCAAGGCAAAGCATGTTTTCCTAAAAACATCTCAAACAGAGATCTTAAGGACAATAAACTGCTTACTTGGGGCCAAAAAGATGTATAACCTTGAAATTTTATTTATTATCTTTTATTTTATGTGTATGAGTGCTTTGCCTGCATGTATGTCGGTACACCTGTGTCGTGCAATGCCCACAGAGGTCAGAAGGTGTTGGATCCCCTGGAACTGGAGTCACAGACAGTTGTTAGCTGCCATGTGCCATGTGGGAGCTGGGAACTGAACCTGGGTCCTCTGCAAGAGCAGCCAGTGCTCTTAACCACTGAGCCATCTCTCTAGCTCCCCGAAAGAAAAATCTTTTATTTAAGGCCTTGTTGGGTTTTTGTTGTTGTTGTTGTTTTTGTTTTTGGTCTTTTTGAGACAGGTTTCCCTGTAGCCCCAGCTGGCCTGGAAGTCACTGTGTAGTCCCTGCCTGGGCATTAAAGGTGTGTGCCACCACGCCCAGACTTTTTTTTTTTTTGAGACAGGGTCTCCCTGTAGCCCTAGCTGTCCTGGAACTCACTATGTAGACCAGGCTGGCCTTGAACTCATAAAGATCCACCTGCCTCTGCCTCCCAAGTGCTGGGGTTAAGGGCGTGCGCCACCACACCCGGCTGTTTTTGTTTTTAAAGGAGTGGTTGGTTCCCTGTCAATGACAGCACTGACAGCACAGCTCCATGCTGCCACTAGAAATGAAGAGTTCTCTTTTCCCTTGGGGGCCTCACTTAGACAAGCCCAGGCCTTTTTACTTCACCACAAAAAAGAATTTCAGGATAAGCCAATATGAAGCAGAGTTTGTTAAAGACCTTATAACATAGATCTTAACCACAGGGATTAATAGAAAGATGCTCAGGTTAAGAATAAGACACCCAAGTATGGGTGTGGCCTTCCCAAGGGAGAGTTGTGCTTAGGTGTCTTTATAATGGGTGTGTATACCATCCTGTGACTTTCTAAGTTGTTTTGCTGGGAGTATAATTTACAACAAGGCCTTAAAGGACGGGCGCGGTGGTACACGCCTTTAATACCAGCAGAGTCAGGCAGATCTTGGAGTTCTAGGCCAGCCAGGCCTACAGAAGGAGTTCCAGGCCAGCTGGGGCTTCAGGGAGACCCTGTCTCAAAAAGATAACAACAGCAACAACAACAACAACAAACTCTCTTGCAGTATTTTAACAGTTTTAAAATTCTTCTTTGCATGTATTACTTCAGTAAGATATTTAAGACGGTCCCTGGATTATGATGGTTTGACTTATGATTTTCAACACTGCTACAAAATAAAGCACATTCATCAAAAAGTCAGAAATCACTTTGAATTATATCTTTCCTGGGGCTGTAAATACACAATACAGGACCCCCTGTGCTGGTGGCCAAGCACTAGCAAGCGGCAGCTCCCTGTCAGTCTCTTGATCAGGAAGACAGCAAAGATACCCCACCAGGTGCTATGCTGCTACGCTGAGACGTTCAGTAGACTGGGCATATGAAATGTATTTTCAGCATATAATATTTTCAGCTTACAGTGGGTTTATCAGGACATAACTCCATTATAAGTTGAAGACCATCTGTAATAAAAAGTAAACCCAGGCCAGGCATGGTGGCTCATACCTGTAATTCCAGCATTTGGGGGCTGAGGGCAAGACAACTGCCATGAGTTCAAAACCCATCTAGGCTACAGCATGAGACAATGTCTCCACAAAGAAATGGAATTCAGTAAGCACTGTTGAAGAAGTAGGAAAGTGGACTCCCATACATTCTATTGGGAATTGTGAAATGGTAAACCCACTCTGAAAAAAACAGCATGGCATGTCCTTAGAGTGTTAAACAAAGATATAATCATAAGACCTAGCAATTCTACTCCCTAGTGCACACCCAAGATAAAAGCAAACATATGCCCACACAAAAACGGGTAGACAGATGTTCATGGCCATGGCAGCAGTTTTCATAATAGCCCTAAACTAGAAACTACTTGGAGTGCTCATCAACTGATGAAAGGATGTAAAGAGCAGTACAGCAGCCTTATCCATCATCCTACTTCCACAGTAAACACACAGGGCCAGACAACAATCTGAAAATATTAAGTGGAAGTGTCTAGAAATAAACAATTCAAAACTCTGAAACTACACATTGCTCTGGACAGCATGATGAAAGTTTATGCTGTCCCACTCCACCCTGCCAGAGACAGAATCATTCCTCTGTCTAGGTACCCACATTATCCACATCACCCACCTGCAGGGTACCCCTGCCCCCCACCCCAGCAGACAGACTGTTACAGTGTCAGGACATTTATGTTCAAGGTATCCTTAGTTTACTTAATAATGGTCCCAAGACACAAAAATAGTGATGTTGACAACTTTATCTTAGTGTACTATTGTATTATAAAGAGCATACATATGTATATTATAGATATATGTGTAACTGTTCTACTTCATTAGTTGTTATTCTTTTATTGTGCCTGTTATAAATTAAACTCTACTACAGGTATCTGAATATAGGACATGACATAGTACATAAGGGACTTGGTAGTAGCTAAGGTTTCAGGCATCCACTGAGGGTTCTGCAATGTAAACAAGGGGGACTACTTTGTGTGCTTACTATGGATTACTATTCAGTCATAAATAAAGAAATGAAATACTCACAATGCAACATGGATGAACCTTAATACACTATGCTACATGAAAGAAATCAGGACAAGATCATATGCCGTATGGTTCTATTTCTATGTAATGTCCAGGAAAGGTATTTTCTTTTTTAAAAAGATTTATTTTTGATTATGTCTGTTTGTGGGTATGTGTACATGTGTATAGGTATTAGGGTTCCAAATAGCAGCAGCTTCCCCCCTCCCCAACAGGGACCTATGGACTTTTGGAGCCCAAAAAAGGGAACTGAGCTGATAAGCACCTTGGCCTTTGAAGTCAAGGGAAACAGACTCTGCTGAGAAGCAGCCTGCCTTTCCTCTGATCTCCAAAGACACGATAAGCAGATTCTACCTGTTAACCAGAGATTTTAGAAGCTGTTTAACACAACAGCTTTTCCCTTATCTTAAGAGGGAAAAAGTAAACACTTCCAGACCCAGATCCTGCCTGGCAGACTGAACGGAGCCAGGTTTACAAGCCCTGCTTTTCCTGCTTCCCCCTGATTGATTTTTCCCCCCAAACATCCCCCTCTTCTGCACCTTAAAGCCCCCGTATATAAATCCCAGCTCACAACCCGTGGGCTGACATCTTTCCCTTCCCCGAGGGAAACGTGTCCTGTGCGAAATAAAGCTGTATCCCGCTGAGAGTTCTATCTGTGCCTCGGTGCCTCCCCATCCGCTCGCTCTCCACCCCAACTTTTTACCTATCAGTAGGTACCCACAGAGGCCAGAGGCATCAGATCCCCTGGAGCTAGAGTTACAGGTAGCTGTGAGCCACCTGACGTGTCTGCTGGGAACCAAATGCAGGTCCTCTGGAAGAGCAGTTGCACTCTTAAGCACTGCACCATCCCTCCAGCCCCCCAGGAAAGAGATTTTCATAAACAAAAAGTAGATTAATGGTTGTGAAGAGTTAGAGTGGGAATGGGGAGTGACTAATGGCTAGAAAGTCTTGCTGGGGTGACAGATGTGTTCTAAAATTAGAATGTGGTTGTGTTAGTGTTCTCAGGCTGCCATAACAGAAATTTATTTCCCAAAAGGAAATCCTAGATTAGAGCATGAACATGGATGGGTTCTGGTGGACTCTCTTCCAAGCCTGCTGAGGGTGACCTTTTCACTGTCTTCACATGAGGGAAAGAGAGGAAGAGAGAGAGAGTCAAACTCTCTAGTGTCTCTACATATAAGGACCCTAATCTCATCATAAAGGCCCATCCAATCTAATTACCTCCCAAATTCTGTCACATATGAGCAAGAGGGGCAATTCAATCATGGCAGTAGTGAGGCTATACAACGGTGTAAGTATACTAGAAAATCCCAAGTTAGACAATTGAAAGAGGGCATTGGATCCCTTGGAACTGGAGTTTAGATGGTTATGAGCTGCCATGTGGGTAGGTCCTGGGAACAGAACCCGGGTCCTCTGAAAGAGCAGGAAGTGCTCTTAACCGCTGAGCTGTCTCTCCAGCCCTTGTTTGTTTTTGAAACAGCCCAGGCTGTCTTCAAACTTATGGCTCTCCTGCTCCTCAGTGCTGGGATTACAGGGATATCACCATACCTGGCCAAGGCTTGCATATCAGGGGGAATTGATACAAAACTGCCTCTGACCAAATGTTCCCTTGTCTGCCATGGTACCACCTATTGGTAAAGGTCAGCAGTGTCCTGCAAAACCCACATGATATTAGTCCATGGCAGTCATAGCAGTCTCTAGTCCAGGCTGCCAGATGAGGACAACGAGACTACAGAGGAAGGCTTCCTGACCACAAGCTGGTCCACTTGTTAGAATGTCTGCCTAACATGAATAACCCCTTAAACTCCCTCTGCCCAGTAAGCTTCTGTACAATGGCTACAAAAATACATGGGAAAAGGTTGTAGTATGACTTTAAAGACTCCTAAAGGCCAATTACAAATTCTCCATTTGAAAGATGACAATGAAAACATTCTCAATGGTCTTTGCTTCGTCCCAAACCTCCATCCCTGATCCAAAAGCCAGTTCTTGAACAGCTCTGGACCAGACAGTTATTCAGGCAACATGAGGTAAGCTATTCCCAGAAAATGGCTATAGTATTTATCTTTGTTACCTTGGTAACTGCTACCTTGGCACCCTTGTTGATGAGCTGAACCACATTCTCTGCTTGGCCTTTGTAAGCAGCTATGAGAAGGCGTTCTGAAAGCGCAGCGACCACATCCTGCTGGCTCATGAATTAGGAGAGAAAGGGGTTCTCAGGAAAGCAGCAGACCAGGTCCTCCAGCTCAACACGTAGCCACTGGCTGGGGCCGGCATCCACAGGTAAAGATGCTCAGAATCATTGGGTAACCTTTGTTACTACGCCATCTTCAGGACCTAGGGGGTCACAAAACAAAGCTGCCATCAGTGCCATTCAACACATAAGGACAGACACACCTCTGCTAACCTCTGGGTGTTCTGCTTGGTACACAGGACAGGGGAGTGAATCAGCAAAGCCTCACAATGTATCAATCTCCAAGCTTCCTCCCTCCTCATGGCAATGCTATACAATCTGGCCAGTGCTGGGAGTGTGTTTCTGAATTTCTACCCTGCGTGAAAGAGACCTGATACAATCCCTTAGACACCTTGCAGTCGTTCCCCCAGCAGTGTGTATTGCATATGATCACCCGCAGCCTTCTGTGCTGGGTTTCATGGATCCACCATGACTAATGTACAGAGATTAGTGCACTCTGCACCCCACACAGATCCTAATAGGTAGGGTCTCTCCTTGAGGGTTCTTCCCAGGATTTAATGCAGCCTTTACTTCCTGAAAATACTGCAGTTTCTTGAGTTCTGGAGCAGATGGAGGACTGGGCACAGGTCCGGCTGACTCCAGGTCCAAAGTGCTGAAACACTATCCTGGGAAGAAAGCAATGCTTCAGACCAATAGCGAGTTCTGACAGTTTAGGAGAAACTCCCCCTGTTGTTTCCTTGCTTAATGGAAGAAAATACACAGGCACCAAACCACTTAGGACTAAGCACTTACTCTGAGCAGTATCTGGAGGTAGTAACTGCAGCAAACTTAAACTCCTCCTTCTATGATATGACCAAAATGAATAGAACTTTAGAGATGCTGACTCCTCTCAAGCAACCCTAGGACTACCATTAGAACAAACAAAGCCATGGGTACTGATTTCAAAGGTAAGTGGCATTCTGGGGCAAGAGAGAACAAGAAGGACTTCTTTGCATTTTAAAACATATTTATAGTGGGGCTGGAGAGATGGCTCAGTGGTTAAGAGCACCGGCTGCTCATGCAGAGGACCTGGGTTTGAGTCCCAGCATCCACATGGCTGTAATTCTACTTCTAGGGGAATCTGACTCGCTTTTCTGACCTCCATGGGCATTGATTGCATGGCATGGGTGCACTCACACACACGCAGGCAATACACTCATACACATAAAAAAAATATATTTAAAACATATTTATAGGAGCCAGAGAAATAGTTCATTGGGTAAGGACACTTGACACAAAGCCTGATAACCTGAGTTCAGTCCCCTAGACTCATAACACGGTGGAAGGAGAGAACTGACTCTCAAAAGCTGTGCTCTGACATTTGCATGCACATGAGCAGAAGCACGTATACACACATACACATGTGTAATAAATTTTGAAGTATGATTATTAAAAATATATATGTAAATAGAAAGAAAATGCTGTATCAAAGAAATATTATTCTTCAACCCAGATGCCACCATTCGATCTTATTTTGATAGTCAAGAAGGTATGGGCATCTTTTCCTGCTGCCTCCAGAAACCTGATGATCATCTCAATCTCTAAAGAATATGGCTGAGGAAGGCCTGAACCAAGCTGGGCTCAGGTAGGTCATGCAGCCAAACAGCCTGGGAGGCTGCAGTAGAGGCTTATGTACAGAATAGATACAGACCACATCTCTCCCAGATAGCAGGAAGGTATGCCAATGGTTTCTTTATGGGAAGCCTGACAATGTAAATACTGTAATTTTAGAAAGCTCTTTATTATTCCATTTTTGTACCATTTTCCAGCACCTACAATACATGCAAAAGATAATAAGGGAAGAGAGACAGGAACCCTGGCAAGCCCAAATATTCCTGATCATCAGGTCACTGAAAGCACAATCCTGGAGAGGGTGATGCTGAAAAGCAGGGTGCTTTAGCTGAAGAGACCTGGGATGTACATTTCTCTTCCCATGTTGGGGATCGAGCCCAGATCCTTGCACATGCTAGGCACATGTGCTACCAATAAGTTACATGCCCTTCCCCCCATAAAACATTTAAGACTCAAAGCACTGAGAGAAACAAAACTAGACATTCCTTTGGAAGTGCTCAAAGCCACACCGAACAACTACATTTTGGGCTTTGTCTTTCCCCACTATCACACACTTTGAAAGAGGTTTTTCTTTATCAACACAGGGTATACTGTTTCTTTATATGCAGGTGATCTGTGGTACATTCAAACCAATTACACTGATTTGTTGCTGTGTTTGTCAATCGCTCCAGGCTCAAATGCAGGAAAAGACACAGCATTAGTCATGGGTTCCAAAATGATCTTCCTCCCACAAGCATGTTTGTCCTCTTCATCTGTCCGTTTGCTATCTCTGTACATGTGATTTTACCCCTACCCCATTCCCTTCCAGAACCCTTCTTGCAAAGGGTATGTGTAACAAATACCTTCATGCAAATACTGTTATGCCTAAATTCTGCCCATTCTTCTCCAAGGCTTAGCTCCTGAGGATAAAGATCTCTGCTTCGATTTCAGGGCAGCCCAATAGCTGAGGTCACAAGCCCCATGCCCACATCTGTCCAGTCTCCTTAGTAACAGAGAAAAGGTCCAACCAGCTTCTGGTAAATTGGCATCCACTCCCATCCCACACGCCTGTCTCATGCAACAGATGCAGCCTCTCAGATAATGAGACTAAAGCCTGAAGTTCTAAAGGCCATAGTTGCAGGCTGAGACAGCCTTGATTAGATAACTGTCAGGAAACTAGCCCTTTGCAAGTTCAGCCCCATCACTATTTAGATTTTAAACATAAGAACACTCTGATGATGAGAAAATGCTGACCAGCTAGCAATGTCATTTTATTTTTTGTTTTTCAGTTACATCTACTTAAGAATGCTCTTTACCCCCACCCTACCCTACAGTCAATACACTCACAGAACAGTGGTCACTCACACTGGACCTTGGATACGCCCCATCTCCTCCAGTACCGTTGCACAGAAAAGTGCCAGCAAGATCAATGGCATCCCAGGTTTCAGTTCCCATCTGCTCCTAATACCACCCGTGGTGTGCACACACTTAGACATTTCAAACTCATTCTCCTTTTCAGCATGGGAGTCATCTCACTGCTAGGACCTGCAGCATTCACCAGCAGATGCATTATACACAGGGTGGGGGGCACCAGGATCACAGTTGCTGAGACCTTTCTGCTTCCTGTTTCCTCCCACCACCTCACTTGGAGTGAAAGGATACTCTGTGCTGGGAACCAGTAAAGTAGGCCAGAGAGAGGCAGGCAGGCAAGGGTAGGAAAGGATAGAGAGCACCAACAATGAGTAGAGTGGGGAAAGAACTATAAGGGTGCGACCAGTCTACAGGCAACAAGTTAAACTTCTCTGCCAACCTGTTGGGTGCCCTGGCTGTCATAGCCTGGGTCCCTCATTCAATCTGAGCCTCCTCTTCAAAGTAGATAGCTGTCATTCAAGATGCTGCCTGCTGCTGGAAGTGAGGAGTCTGCCTCACACTTATCGTTCACATCCCTTTGTCACAACGCTCATTTTCACAGTGCTCTGGAGGACAAAGCTTAAATGCAAACTCGCTGCCCATTCTTTAGGTAGAAAGGAAGCAGACACAAGGACACAGTACATACACAGAGAGCACACATCATCCAAGGGGCCTAGATTCCTAAGACTCACTGCCTCCTTTCCTCCCAGCCCCCCAAACGCCCTGTTTGCATGGCTCCCTGATTACCAGATGCTTTGCCTATGAAGAGATAGGTTGGTTGTTTTGTTTTATATAGCAAAAAGTCTATGAGGTTTTTTTTTGCTGCTTTCTTACAGATTTACAACCAACTCTCCTGGTAACAGTCAATATCTGAAAGCCACCTACTTTCAGTCTCTTCCAGGCACAATACTCTAAATGAGTCCTTCCATAAAAAGTCCTAGCCAGGCATTGCGCAGAGCCCACCCAGATAAGGCCCACATGGGAGCCATGGTTAGAGAACACGAGCAGTTAGAATAACCAGCTTTCTCCCACTGGAGAGACTACTCACACAGAGGTCTGTCCTTGTTCTACATCATGTTTTCTTTCTGGATAATTGCGGTCAATTCTTTCCTGGCGAGATCATCAGCTTCCTGGGACTGCCACTCCCAGCGGGTCTCAGTGATTTACCTACAGCGCTTGGAGCCTCTTTCTCTTTAGCCTCCTCCACCGACACTGACTGAATCACAAGCTTATTAAGACTTCCATTCAGCTCCGGATGCTGGTCTGCTGTCACTGCTCCTGAGTGTCAGAGATTCGGATTTTGTGAGACGGCTCTCTCAGAGGAACTGACACTGCCCAAGAGGAGTCAGGGAGCAATTCGCAGCTGAGCAGAATGCCTCTGCAAGGATGCTCAGATGGTGGAGAAGTGAAGTTTGCAGCACAGTGTGAAGGGGATGATGCAGGAAAGGCTGAGAAGGGTAACAGACTGTCCTCACAGGAACAGCTGGGGAAATGCTGGCACCCTGAGCAGTGAGCCAGACACATTGCTTGGGCAGAGTCCCACTGAGGGACTGTGGCATCAGCAGCACTGACAGGATCTGACTGAGCGATCATTGAGGCATCTGTAAATGCAGTGTGCCTCACAAATTCCTCCACAGTCTCCACAAGGGAGGAGGATTTGAGAAATGGGGAAACAGCCTGCTCTGAAGCTGTCACAGGTGCTGTCAATACTCTGAGCATCTGTGCCCTTCCTGCCCACTTGTTGAAGCAACAGAAACTTTCCACTTGGAGGGATCAGAAGGAAGAAGGCTTTCATTTTAGCCAGAGCCAGGACACTCGTTATTTTCCATCTTGTTTCTAAAGATAGACTCACTGGTCCTGGAGATAGGAAAATAACTTGTCAGCAAACTGACCACCTTCCTACTCCCCAGAGGGCAGCAACTCCCAAGGCCACAGGGGTAGGATCCTGCTCCTGTCTCTTTGGCTGGTAGCAAGAGACAATCAGGCTAGGACTCTGGCCTGTGTACACAAACGAGGAATTCCACTGGAGAAATCTTTTTCCTTTTCTTTCTCTTTCCCCCTTCCTTCCTTCCTTCCTTCCTTCCTTCCTTCCTTCCTTCCTTCCTTCCTTCCTTCCTTCTTTCCTTCATACAATACTCATCGT